TGGTTCTTGGTAGCGACTCAACTGGAGCAAGACGAAGATGTGCGCGACGAACAAGAGGGATCGATCAGATTGAAGGCGGCTTACCTAGTGAGTTACCAAACAAGATTAGGAATGATGGCCGATAAAATCCGTTTTCAACAACTGAAAATGGCGGATCCGATTTCAAGGACCTGGCATGCCGTATCGGTCTAGTACCAATTTATGTAAAAATTCTGCAAAAGAACAAGGTGATATTCCACAACATAAAATAAAAAAAATCTAGCAAAGCGAGTATCCATACACAGCAAAAAATCAATTTTAATATTACATCCAAGATGATGCACTTCAATCATGTCGAAAATCATATTTAATTTTTATGGCCACAAACATAAACAAATGCAGTAAAAGCAGCGTAATGTCAGTTTATGCACTGTATTAATGAAAATTTTGTACGAGGATCGCAGTAGGTCGCGCCTGAAAGCTGACGTGTCAGCGAATTGAACTTTTTTGCTTTGAATTTGTTAATTTGTGTCTTGAAATTTAGATTCAAGTGTTTATAAAGTTATCATTTAGTGATATATCGTATTTTTTCTGTTTTAAGGCGTCCAGTTTTGAAGCCAAATTTGATTTAAAAAAAGCGAAGAATATAGCAAGTGAAAAATAGTTCAATGTTTGGTGTCGGTTTCATTGCCTCCCGGGAGCCCGGTTCTCCGAATTCGGATGCCACACTTTTGGCGTGTAGTTCTATTGAGGGATTCGTCACCGTGGACGAGTTTTAACCCGGTCCGGTTGGTGAATTAGCTCGGGAAAGTGCTGATAATGTGTCCGTTGCAAGTTTTGGTGGTGATTCGGTGGCAGACGTTGCCGTGAATCAGCAAGTTTTCCGGCTCGTTGGATAACCCTCAAGACTGGACGGGGTGTAACTAAAGCCCTACAGTAAAAGTATGGACGACTGTCACCACAGAACTGAAAAAAGCTGTTCCAATCGAGCATCGGTGCATTTTGACGGTTCGATTGGTACAACTTTTGACAGACATCCATACTTTTACTGTAGGGCTTTAGGTGTAACTGGTGGCCGCACGCAGTTCCTGGGGAAAGCACTAGACGTGAACATTCTCCCAGATGCCATGGCAGTGCAAGAAAATTTGTGTTCGGAACTACGGAACCCATGGATTGGAGGAAACCACATGATAAACAAGTAGCGGATGCATCCAACGAAACTTTTAAGCGCAAAAGAATCATTACCAACATTGGAGAAAATTCGGTAAGATCCTTTACAACTCCATACAGCATGCAAAAATAAGTGCGATCTACCCAGTCACTGACTAACCTCAAAATAGCGTGTAACAAGTTCCGCCGTTGTTAGCAGAGTGTCTGCATTCTAGATGGCTGGTGAAGGGGGAGCACCTAAGTGCTGCCACGATAGCCCTGGCGGAGGAGAGGTGCTTCAGGATGCAGCGGTTGCCGCATACGACTGACGACTTGAGTTATGCATCCCAGCTGTTGGCGGGATCGATGCAGCACCAGCAAAACGGTTGTTGAGTGAAAGTGTCGGAAGCAGCGGAATTTGGCGCCGTTACAGGATGGCAGGAAAGTTCTGCCCGTTATTTTCTGGCACTGTTCTTCGGCCAGGTTGATTCTTCCTAGAGGCTTTATTGCGGATAGCAATGAATTCCGCTCGCTTCGGGCATGTCTTGGTGGTTGCTCGATGTGCTGTCCACAATTGGCACATTTGAGGTCCGGTTCCTTCAATAATTCGTGGGTGACATTGGGTGACATCACGGTGGACTGGCTTGTTCTGTTCCCAAATCACCACGATGTGGAAAAGGGCCCGCATGCTCTGGAGGTTCTTCAAGCATGTCGAATTCCTTTCCAGGTGGACCAAATACAGCTGGTCACGGTACTTACATGAAGCGTCATGACGATTAATCATGAAAATTTTGAACGCCAGTGTGACTGTTTCCATGTCGGGAAGGCCGCGCAAGACCACCTTGAGCGGCTTGGTTGCCTCAATATCGTGGGAGAAGTTCTCCACGTTTTTATGTTTCAGCAACGCCTCGACGGCCTTGTAGTGATTCATCGCTTCATGGCAGTGCTGTAAAATTTCATATCATTCGATTGAAGGTGAACCAATACAACCATTCAATCAATTCTGTGTAAACGAATTCTCACATGACCATAATTTGAAGAGTCCCTTTCTCATTCGCAGCTCATTGTCACTCACTATCATTTGATATACGACAGTGGACTATGGAAGAAACCCAGCAAAATGGTCCCGAATAGACAAGTCGACCCGATATCGGATCAATGTAAGGCTAATTTAAAGTCAGTGTCGACCTAATGTCGTGTTGTTGTCGGGTCAGTTTTGGATTTGTGTCGGGTCAATGTCGGGTCAACATCGGGTTGGGGTTTGGTATAAGTCAGGTTGGTGTCGGATTGGCTTAGTTTTTTCACCGGAATGTCGATCATAGCTCCGTTTATGTGTATGTTACACTCAATTGAATGATATATAGCGTTTCTCAAATGAGAATGATCCATGCCTTCGTCAAATGACTAAGCAACTGATATCACCCATTCGAAGGAGGTCCCCTTTGCTAGCGAATAGCTACTTTTCTCATTTTCATCAAAAATATTCAAATGATTTTGAGAATTTACAGAACTGGCTTCATGCCTTCAGTACACATGCGCATGGTACAATTGAGACCTTAACCAATGTTTCTCCCGCAAGCCTTCCGGGAATCCTTTCAAGTAGAACGGTGGAACCACAGACAAACAGACATAACACTAGCAATCTGTTCATCGAGCACGCATTTAACGGTCAATTTAAATGTTTTTAGTTGGTAGTACTGCCACCTGTGGCGCGCATAGTCAATTACCCTTGCGTTTGACGTTTATACACTACCGCCATCTGTTCAGTATACTCAACAGGTGGCGTTAGTGTTTTAGTGACGATGTTTTATATTGAAAAATATTCAATGTGTTACGTCTATTTGTCTGTGGTGGAACTTTCTCCTTCTTTTCCACTTTCGGTTCATCGCCATTTTCCAGGGTGGCGTAACGTTTGTTCGCCAACAGCTGCTTCGATGCCATTTGAGCACTGGCGGTGTCCGATCAGGATCGTTTCCCGGTCGGAATAGCAGCCGCGTCAACACCGCGAATAAAAAAGCCCGAACACTATCCCAACGAACTAGCGAACAACTCGAGAGAGCGAGTACAAACCGAACTGTCCTGCTTGACGGACAAGCAGAGATCGATATGCATCAGCGGAAGAGCGACGGCCGCACTGTTTTATAACTTTCCAGATTGAAGCAGAAAGATGCGCAACCAAGTTGTATGTCGGCTGGGTTAGGGAAAACGATTACAGTGATCAAATTATCACTTTTTAGTTGTACTTTTTTAAAAGGTTTTTTTTATGGAAAATTTGAAAAATATTTATTTAAGTAGGTTCGTAGAGTTTTTTCCTATCGTTTGGTGTATTTGGATGAATTTAAACATTTATAAATTACAAAATTATAAGTGTTCAAAACCTAACACCTTTTCATGACGGTTACAATTTTAAATTTTTGATTTACCCCCTGTGCCTTCCCATAAGACGTAGTCAACATCAAAAAAATCAGCGTCAGGATTGATTTTTTTTTTGAGGAGATGATTAAAGTTATGAAAAATTATTTTTTTTGTTTATAAAATTATTTGATAAGGCTCAACCGAATTAACTTTACAGAGCCGAGGATTCTTGGTCACTATACAATACATCTTAAAACTATAGTCAAAAGTTACAACGCAATAAACACTTTATCTTCCGCTATCCAAAAAGCCTCCTCCATCAGAACTGGAGCCGCTTCCAGTAGTTTCATTGTGTGGCAAATTGTTGTACGCCAACGAGGGTCAGAGCGCGTCCATTGCAGCAATGGACGCAAAACGTGGTCAGCACTCACACACTCATCACGAAACGGTTGCTTTCCAAAGTCGACGACGCATCGACCGAAAGAACTACTGATGAAGAACAATGAGGAGGACCACACAATGGTTGCTGCCGAGTAAACAGACGATCGCGTAGCACACATCGAGAGTGGCCTGCTTTTGTCGACAGCCGAGTGAACACTCATGAAAAATTATGGAAACGAAGATAAATTAAATATTCATTTTTACCTGAGTTTACCAATGCTACCGACGGCAGGGCCAGGGAGGCAGCTCCCAAACCTGGGACCCTACCTATCGACCCATCACAACTCATGGACCGGGGGACCAATGGCTGTACTTCGCTTCCGAAGGAAGTCGTGATCAGAGATTTTATGCCTCAGAAAATCTCGGCGGCGCCGACTGGGATTGAACCCAGGGCCTTTGGAGTGAAAGGCAGTCACGCTTACTAATACACCACCGGTGCCGATAAAGACCATGATAAAATCTTTACAGTTCCTAGGAATGCTCATTCCGAATTGTTTTCTCGACTCCGCAAGACTGGTAACACTGATCGTCGCAATGAATGATGTGCTTATCGTTTATTAATTGTATTTGCCATCGCCTTATCAGCGGCAGGGTGTAGTGCTTAGTTTTAGTCACAGTAAGGGATGTGTTTACTGTGTACATAATCGAAATTATTCGAAAGAATTTCGGATAAATATGGACCAGTCTTGCAATTTCCTAGTCCAGAACATATATCAACAAGGATATCATTAGAAATCTTTACTCGTTCTCACAAAATTAGTTTTTTTTTTGCGATGCGTAGTTAATACTGTTGAACAAAAAAAACTGAAATCTTAACTAATACAAAACGTTTCGAACAACCCCCCTCCCCCCGACACTTCCGTGGCCACTTAGAATAAAAGTGCTACATATTATAGTTATAACAAAACACGTGTTTACACCTTAGTACAATCGATCATCCGTCGTCATTAGCCGTCTTTCAGCGTGAAAAATATAACTAAATATGTACACACATTCACGCCCATCAACTTAGCGCACGAATGATATCAATACCTTGCTTATACCGGCGATCCCTTACCGCGTTTAGTCTGACTGAGCTTAGTCCTACGACGGCAGTCCGTCCAGCAAGTTGAGTCGACGCAATTTGCAGTTTTAATCGTCCGCGCCGTGTCAGTTGTTTCGCTCATTAGAGTGGCTTTCCGATTAGCCACTCTCTTTATCACCTGTACGCTCGCGACGCGCTATCGTACCGTTGATGCAGTGATACTCCAAGAAAGAACTACCTGGGGATGCAAGTTCCACTTTCAGTGGTGTTCCCTTTTTTGCTGGTAAAACAGCAAAACAGCTGACTCAAGGGTGGCTTTGGTGAGCGGATATTGGTGTGAGTGTTTCTTCGCAACCGGCTAAAGCTGGACCGGATCAGTCAGTTGATCGACGCTCGATCACGCGGATCAGAGTGGTGGATATCCACTTGTAGCCTGAACTTTCCGGCTCGATGAGCAGCACAGTTAGTGAGCGATCGATTTTATTGTTGGAAGTGCATATTAGCAATTCGGTTAATGAATATTCACCAGTTGGAGTGGATTTTGTTTCGCGATAATCAACGTGTGTACGTGCTTCGGTGAACAGAACAGCGGGTGTTGTATTTAGTGCCGGGAAGTCTACACGAGCTGTTGTAGCATGTGTTGTGTTGTTGTTTGAGATTATAGTTTTGATTGTGCTCTCTTCCAAGGGAATTTACGGATGGGCAAGGTTAGCAGCTGAGAGAGGTTACTCACCAACAACAACTGGAGTAGTAGCAGCCTAGCAGTACTTCAGAGTGAAATTGGGTCGATGCAGCGACCGGAGTCTGTTGATGCAGTGATAAGGAAAAGTAAGCCATCGACAGTGTTTTCTTAGAGGCTTAAGTCTGTGTTATTCTGAAACGCTAATCGACGCGTGCGGCGGAAAATTGTTTCCCGCTTTTCTTTTGATCAGTCAGTGGAGGGAATGTGTTTCTTCCAAGATTCGTATGTCTTTTTATATCTCTTTATTTTTAGCATGTAGCACGCATTGGAAAATGTATCGTATGCTGCGTGCGATGAAAATAGTTCTAAGCGCTTGAACTTAACTCAGTGACTAGAAAAGAAAAGCCGAAGTTTCATTTAGGATAAACCGTATTTTGAACCGGTTCATCCACAAACACACGGTTTCAAGGTCGTATGTGTCGGGAACAACAAAAGGGCGTCGTTTAAGATTTACTCACTTCCTAGGTAATAGTCGGTAATGGGAAGTACTAAAACCCGTTTACGTTGGCCTCCCAGTGTTCTCACCATGAGAATAGAAGAAATTTGATAGCAAAACAGAAACCGGAATGCGGTTTTATGAATGTGGCACGTGTGCGAGTATCTGTAATGCTGAATATTATGTGATGAATTTGGTCAATTCGTTCGTGACAGACAGTGCGAGGCAATTCGACATAGGGATATCGCAAGGCATATCTAGATAGAGCTGGAATAAGGGCCTAACAGCTCTTGTAAACAATGACTTCTTTCGATGATTTATAGAAATTCAAGGTGCGCCCACGCAAACCAACATATTGATTTGCTTGGGCGAGCCTAGGTTTCTAGAAATCATCGAGAGAAGTCATTACAAAAGCTGTTACGCCCTAATTCCAGCACAGCGACTGCGGATTTGGAGATTTGTGTGAAATGAAGCAAACACCTGGGTTATTTGGTTTGAAGTGGTAATGCATCTCAATCATTACGACGGCCAGGCTCCAGGGTTTTAAAATTTTGTTGTTGTGTTCGAGATTTCAATAAGGTACATCGATGAAAGTAAATGCGGGGCAAGTTGAACCGGAAAGCGTAACTACACACCAAAAATTATGATTATTAATTGAGACGTAATTGTTCAACGGACTTAATATTACATGACGTAATTCAAAAAATAACTTAATTTTACGTTCCACAAGACGCACCCCAAAGAAGCGGTCATATTATTGCAATTTTCCATCATAAACCTCACAATATTACTTATTACAAAATAATTCTACGTGCGTCTACTCAAAAGTATATAAGCACACGTTTTCGGTGTGGAAGGACTTAAAATTACACGAACGAACGCTGGCTCAACGCAAGCAAAACTTCAAACAAGTCGGTCGTAAGTGGTTCAATAATTTTTAATTCGTTGATCGACTAATACAAACTTCAACGTTCTAAAACTATAGCAATTTTCTTTTAAACAAATGTTTGTCACTTTTGATGCCATTCTTATTCTGCGTATGCTATTTGAATACGAAATCAGAAGTTTCAAAAGTACGGTTTGCATTTCGTTTATTTTGAGACTACTGAATTGAAACACAACATGTGAAAATAATCAATCAGTCATATGTAAACAATGACAATGAACGGCGATTATTCATGCATTAAAACTCATTCCGATAAACCGACATCAGCATCCGGTAAACAAAATTTACTTTACCAGATTCTACTGTCGTTCTGCCTTAATGAGTTTTAATCCACGAATCATCGACGCCATTGTTCACACTTGGTTCATTGGATATTTTCACATGTTGTGTCAGAATTTGCCTGAACGAAATTACGAATTTAGTTAAATCTGTAGCAACATTCAGTAGGCAGCTGAAAAATACGTAACATTATAATTTTACATGTCAACAAATTACGAGTAAAATACAATTGTGCTTTATTTTACGTCATTTAAAAACACTAACGGGCGCCATTGTATATCATTTGAGTCGCTTACATGTGTCGGTCTTAGGAGACTTAAAATTAAATGAAGTTTTCGAAGTGTGCACAAAATAAAAAGCAATAGAACCTACTAGTTGTACTATAGAAAGGAGAGGTTCAGTTAGGATCATTTGAAATCCATTTATCACCAACAAACTAAACCGGACGGCTAATTTAGCTGTTTAAAAGCTGGATAAGCTTGTATTTAGCTGTATAAAGTAATATTTAGCGGTATACCCTGGGCATTGGCATAATCTCGAGGATTGCTTAAATGCAACCAGGCCCCAGGGCTTGTCTGTATCTTTACATTTTAAAAGATGCACACTAGTGATGCCAGTTGTGATGTAGCGGACCAAAAGTTCGTTGGAATTTAACTACTAGTCAAAATTAAATAATTGTTTTTTTTCGAAGTAATTGAGATAAAAAAAAAATATAACAGACTAAAGTGGTAATTTTTATACGATAGATGGGGAGATGAAAGCATAAAGTTGATAGTTCCGTTAGAGTACGGCAGTGTGAACATTGTATATACACACCAAATTTAAGTTTTCAATATCAGTAAAACGGATTGCTGGATCATGATCAGCAATCCAATGCTTTACTGAAGAACAGCAAACGATATTTTTACCGAAAAAATCAGCTAACATAAACTAACACCCAGTCAAAGAGCTGTCAAACTGTTAGCATCACATTCGCAAGTATTTTTGCATTCGTACATCACCGGTCAAACCGCAGGAGGAGGAAGAGGTAAAAAAACTACAAATAAATTAAATTATGTGGGTAAGGACACTGGCTCCGACACTGGCTCCGACACTGGTTTTATTTAATAAATGATACTTGGAAAAGAGTCTGGCGATTTCATCTTTATTATTTGTATATTTACAGAAGCTGGAGCTCATACAGTGAAAACAAATTCGATTTACTGAATTTAATTGTTTAGTCAGCAAAATGCTGCCAAATGTCAGAATTTGTAGTTGCTGAAATATCAATAAAGAAATATTGCTGATTTTCAGTAAAAGGTTGTCATTTTGACAGAAGTTGGAATTGCTAAAAAACTTCAGCAGCATTATTTTCCTTAAGCGTTTGCTGATCTTTCGTCCAGTCTAAAATCAGCAAAATTTTGCTGATTTTCAGCGATTTAAATTTGGTGTGTATCAATCTACAGCAATCTCTGAACCTTGCGATGGAGTCAGCTCTCCGTAACTCCAGTGTCTGAAGACCAGCCAGGCGGTGGACCTCAGAATTTCTAGTCCGCGGGGGACTGTTAAGGATAATCCTAAGGATCTTGTGTTGGATCCTTTGGAGTTTGAGGTGATGGCATTTGGCGCAACTCTCCCAGATTAGCATCCCGTATTTTATTACGAAAAGGATGATTTGTTTGTAGACAGCAAGCTTATTTTTCAGGGACAGGGTAGACCTTCGGTTGATGAGTGAATACAACGATATTATCAAGATGTTGCACTTGGTTTTGTCAACGTACTGCCTGAAAAGAAGCTTGAAATCTAGTGTTAGCCCGAAGTACACGGCCTCTTTGGACCATTCCACCACTGAGCCGTTTAAGCAGATCTTATTATTCTCAGACGGAACCAAGGTTGCAAAGACTCATTTCAGCTAAAATAATGTTTTTCGGAATAATAAAACCAAAAGATGGTATGATGGCATGTTTTACTTGTAACTTACAAGAAGAGGTTACAAAGTATGCGTTGGAAACATAAAACCTGTAAATTTTGCTTTCTATGAGTCACAATCAGCGATTTGCTGATCGCTGAGTGAGTGAGTAAGTGAGTGAGTTTGTGAAAAATCGCTGATTGTGACTCTCATGAAGTGAAATAAACAGGTTTAATATGTCCAACACATTCTTTGCAACCTCTTCTTGTATCCTACCAATTCAAAATTTGATCATGGCATCTAATTATTTCATAATTTAGAAAAACATTGTTTTAGCTGAAATGAGTCTTTGCAACCTTGGACCGAACAAGTCTGGGAGATTTTGAGTGTGGAAAGATGATGACCTGGGTCTTTGCCGCGTTGATACGGAAATATTCAGACAGGACGTCCAAGTCTCTCTGAAGTTTGGTAGTCAGAGCTACGATGACCCTACGCTTGTAGATGAATGTGTCATCTGCGAACAGAGACAACGATCCACCATCAGGGAGAGCCGGCATATCGGAGGTGAACACGTTAAATAGAATGGGGCCAAGGATGCTTCCTTGTGGAACCCTGGCACCGATGTTGAAAGCATCCGATGTGATGCTATTCAGAGAGACTCGGAACGTCCTGTCCGATATATAGTTGTTAATTATCTTCACTAGGAAGATTGGAAGACTGTAGTGCTGCAGTTTGAGCACCAGGCCATCATGTCAGACATTGTCGAACGCTTTTTCAACGTCCAACAACGCCATGGCAGATGTTTTCGAAACAGACTTCTTCCGACTGAGAATGTTTGTTACTCGAGTCAGCTGGTGGACGGTCGAACGACCTTTCCGAAAACCAAACTGTTCCTCGAATAAGATGTTGTTTTGTTCGGCAGATGTTAGGAGCCGGTGGTAGACTGCTCTTTCGAACAGTTTTGATAACCCTGAGAGCAGGCTGATTGGTCGATAACTTGAAGGAGAGGACGGATCCTTCCCAGGTTTCCGGATGGGTATGACTTTAGCTGACTTTCAGCACGAAGGGAAGTAGCCAAGTCAGAGTCACTGATTAAAAATCAGTGCCAGATGGTTGTAGAATCTGGAACTCAAGTGTTTGAGTTCCAGATTCAGGATGTTGTCGAAACCTGGGGCCTTCATGTTTTTAGATGATTTGATAAAGGCCAACAGTTCGTCAGCTGTAGTCTCGGATTCCTCTGGAAAAATGTTAGGAATCTGATGAAGATTGGTTGCATTTTCAGCAACCACAGATTCATGAGGGCTGGCGATGTTTTGTCCGAGATTATGGGAGCTGACGAAGTGTTGACCTATCGTGGCAGCCTTCTCTTCAGGGGTTATCAGATGAACCACTGGGTTGTCGTAACAATCCAGTGGGGTTAGTGGTGGTATGAGCAGAGGTATGACAGCAGTGCTGTTTTATATCTTTTCAGGTTCAAGCAGAACGATTAACAACCAAATGGTACTCGATTATGACAACTGGGTTAGGGAAAATCGTG